TATAAATATAAGATCAGTGGCGGATCCACGGGGGAGAGGGGGGGTAGGGCTGTGTGTTAAAACAGAAAAAAAAAAACTTTGGTTATGTAAGAGTAAAAAAAAATAGTAACTCGCGAATTTTCTGCATTCTGAAATTAAACAAGTAAGAAAGTCTAAGTTCGGGCGGAGCCGAACATTAAATACCCGGCGCAAGTATTAAATATATGTTTATTCACCTTTCCGAAATCTACCGCTAGATGGTAAGCCGGGGTGTATCAATATTGAAGTTTCAAGCATTTCTGAAATTTACCGTTATATGAAAAGCGGCCGTAATTTTAGTTCGATTTCAATAATTTTCAACGTTTTGCTTATATGTGACAAGCACAATAACCACATCGAGTTTGGTTCAAATTGGTAGAACGGTTACCGATATACATATATATGAGATCATAAGTGGGCGTGGCTACGCCCATTTTCCAAAATTTTATAATATTCTTATTTTTCGTCTAAAAATTATTGTAAATATCAATTTTGAGTGAAATATCTTCAGTAGTTACTAAAATATCGCAGTTTTCGTATTTCTGGAAATTACCGTTATATGGGAAGTGGGCGTGGTTACAGTCCGATTTCGCCCATTTTCAATACCAAGCTACCTTGGATTAAGGGAAACCTACATACCAAATTTCGTTGAGATCTCTCAATTTTTGCTCGAGTTATCGTGTACACGGACGGACGGACAGACGGACGGACAGACAGACATGGCTTAATCGATTTCTTTTTTCATCCTGATCATATATGTATACATTTGTCTATATCTATCTCGATTCGTTTTGGCTGTTACAAACAACCGTTATGTGAACAAAATTAATATACCCTTGTGCACAAGTGCGCTCGGGAATAAAAATTATACAACAGGCATGCAAATCTTTAAGCGCTGTTATAAAATTTTTTCTGAAATTTATTTGTGTTTCTTGCTGTGATCTTAAATTTTAGTCATGGTAAATAAAATCTTAAAAAGTGAGTTGTTTGACATTTGGAGAAGTGTTACTGAAACTTCTAAAAGACAACAAGGTGTCCGTTGTTATGTGATTAGTAAATTGAAAGAAATATCTGATGAAAATGCTCGTTCCGAAGTAAATAAAATAAATTAAGTAAATGACTTTAGATTCGTAATCAGCAACCCAGAAAACCCCCAGATACCCAGTTACATAGAAATCTACCGATTTTTTTAAATTTTCGTCCGCCATATTGGATCCGCCATTTTGAATTTTTGGTAACACATTAACCGACCGGAACTCTAACATAGCGAGCAGAAAAGTGGCGAAACGATAACGGCTAAAGTTAGCCGTTACAGGATGGACGATAGCGAGTACCTCAGCCTTCAAAGGCTACATAAAAGTCCTATTTTTTGTCCACCCGAAAGTTATAAAAATTCTAAAAAAAAATATTTATGTTGGTAATGGAACCATGGACCCCACTTGGCAGTGAAACTTGCAAGTAAATTTTCTTGCTCAACTTTTAGACGAGCGCACCTAATACCACTTATCCTAATCAGCTGACCACAAGTGTATTGGCAATCGAAAACCGGAGCGTTGTTGTTCTAACAGCATATAAATCACCCAAAGAGTTTTTGGGGAATGATGTTGGAGTGACAGTCCTTTGCCGGATATGAATCTGGATCGTTCCGGTTAGGTAGACCCGACTATGGTGAGAGCCAGCAAAACCTCCCTCTTTTGGGTCTTTCGTGGATTTGTTAACAATATGCATCGGATGAACGAAATTGTTTGCACAAAATCAAAGCGAAAATAGGATATTCAAAAACATGTATTTGAAAGAAAGCACTCACCATTTAATGTACATATGTATGTATATTCTAACTTCCAAGTTCCAAAGTTATTCATCCCACTTTGCTGAATTTTATATGTTGGGGTACATTTTTGTGGTATCATTTGTAATAGTTGTGGCTTTATTGACGAACAGCGCCCGAATTTAATACCTCTCAGCGGTGGTGCTGGTATCAATTAACAAGCAGGCACTTACATATGTATGTACTTTGAATAAATTAACATTCATCAAATAAAACGATTTTAAATAAAACACTACACTGCAAAATGTAATTGAACAAACCGAGACCTGTACGAAAGGAACGGAACTGGAAATTAAGCACTCATCAAAGGACTTTTAGTTTGAGGAATCAGGCTTTTTACATTTATTGGGTATACATTGAGAACAAAAGATCTACGATTATTATACACTTGCACTTTATCGACGTTATACGACACCTGGACTATGGTGACTTATAAATTTGCGCTTATTCATAAATGCACATTTCAGCGAAATTGATACTGCGTTTTTTCCTTAACAATTGCTAGCATTTAGCTTCTTTTATGTATTTGTGTTATTTATCACTTTTTAATAAGTGGAGTAAGCGCTCACTTTATTTATTTATATTTGCAAAAATTAATTCACGAACAATGCACTATAAATTGCTATTTGCCTTTGCCCTCACAACTGACAGTTTTCTTACATGTTCGAAATGGCCGCGGCAGCGTACGATGCCACGTGGTGTATGTACAAACCGCTATCCGTACGGAAATGCCAAATACTACAGGGTGGTGTTAGTCAGGTTTGTGCTTACAACGATTAGCGTAGTAGGAAACAACTCGAAAGGAAAGGCGCAAAATAAAGTATGTATTAAGGAAAAGGAAATAAAAGGCACAAAATTGAATTAAAACTTCAATGAGAAAATATTATATGTATATCAAATATAGGTAATAAATTAATTAACCATGTACATTGAGTACAAAAAATATGCGATTGAAGTGATTCTAAAGCTTTATGCACTCTTATTCAATTCATAATCTGTTGATAATACTTTTGACCCTGCTACGTAGAAATTTCGCGCTATTTCTCTGACAAGTCGAACCTTTGATGTAGTCAGCAACAACCTCGTATTATTAAGTTAGAACGTCACATCAAAGTTCATAGAGCTTTTTGCCACACAAACAATTTATAGTTGAAAAATGCGCTGGAAGTCTAATAAAAGGCACCCAACGCTTTACTTCCTTGAATTTACCAAAATCTATACCACCGGGTGCGCTGGAAGTTCTTTAGCTTGCATTTAGAGAAAAATTTATCAAAAATATCGTTTCAATAATTTCAATTAGTAATCAACAAATGCATTCGAAATTCTTCCACATTCAGGTGATTAGCGGCGTTCAAGAAGATAAAATGCCAGCAGGTTACGATCCGAAGGCAGCGGATGATGATGAAGCCGTAGAAGCAGAAGCTACAGCACGTATGTACGGCAAACCTTTGAAAGAACCCATTCTTGGTAAATACTTTGAATTGCCCGGCAAGAGTGCTACCGAACAGCGTATCGATTTGGATACATCACTTTCGTATATACCGGTTTTTACACATTTGAAAATACACGAAGCCGATGATATTGAAAGGCCACCCACACCACCCACAATACGTCGCATAGGCAATGAAGACTATATGGAGTTTTATAATCCGAAAAAGAAGTGGGGACCAGGACAGAAAAAACCAAAAGAGTTTAAATAATGGATAAAGACAAAAATTAGAAGAAAGAAATGGCAGCAAATAATCGCACAGGTGTTCCGGAAAATTTGCAAATTTTCTAGTAATTTTAAACCTACATACATATATATGTACATACATTTGTATATTGATAGCATATTATCTATATTCTGTATTTACTTTATATAATACAAATTCTCAACTCATTACAAGTCATTAAACATTATGCATATTTCTTATGAGCTATATAGTTAGTTAAAAAAAGAATTGTGCATAATTTTCATATGTAAATGTTACACTCGAACT